ACAAAACCTGGCTGGAGAACCTAGCAAGAGAACATGGACACAGAACCTGGCTGGAGATCCAAACCAGAACTTCGCTGGAGATCCTAGACAGAACTTGGCTGGAGATTGTGGCAAGAGATCCTGGCAAGGCTGCTGATCAACTGAACGCTGTCTCCGTGTAATTCCTTCTTCGCCAACTCCGTCCACACCTATGGGGAACCCCTGGACCTGCTGGGGTTGGACCCCAGCATTATTAGAGAAGGCAAGAGGTTCGCCATACCTTACCAGTGCTCATGGTGTTTGGCAAGCATGTCAAACTCAAAGGCTAACAAGGGCCAAATAAACAAGGCCTGTGGCCCACGGGCTGTGAGTTTGACGTGCTTGGTGTACGGCATTATAATGCCCTGAACTCTGACAGCACCTTCGCGGAGCCTGGCTGAGTGTCCGGAACTGTCCTCAGTGGTTCACAAGTCTTACCTGTTCAGTCCTCACGACAATCCGGGGTGTTAGGTCGTTAGGTGTTAGGTGTTGCTATATGTTGAGCCCCATTTTATAGCTGAGGAAGTGGAGGGACAGAGGTGAGGTACCAGCTGGGATTCTACAGCCAATGGACGCAGAGCCCGAGGTCAGTTCAGCAGACTCGGCCAGCGTCCCACTCAGTGTCTCCCACATGCTCTGCCGAGATGCGCGCACTCTGCCATGCCCACGGCCGGTGCAGAGGTCACGTCACAAACAACGACTATAACTCAGAGAAGCCGAAACGTCGTGCCCGTCACAGGCCGTGGGGTTTCTGTGTGACCTGTCTTTTATCTCACTTGCACACATGTGTTTCAGCCAAATAAGTAATTAGATCACACGGGAATGTCTTTTTTTTTTGGAATTTCTAAATAGTGGGGAAGCTTAAAAATGAACTCACCTCTACTAAGAAATAAAAGTATTTTTCTGGTTGTAATGTAGGCAACTCTTTTTACTGTAATTCTTATCTGCTCGCCTTTTAAAGACAGAAAGCATTGCGTATGCATCACAGACTCCACAGCCTGCACAGCACACACCCACACAGGAAGGCACAGCCCTGGGGGTTTGCTTGGGTGTCACAGCCTCTGTCACAGGTGAACAAACAGGAGTCAGGGACGTGCCAGGGTCACACAGCTGATCACTGTCAGCGCAACCTGCCAGGTCTGCTCGGGCCACGCTGCTTCTCCCCCGAACGGAGCTTCCTGCGCTGTCCACACTGGTCCGTCCTCCCCTCGGCCCTCCAGTCCGAGAAGTCCTCAGGTGTGGGAGGCTGTTAAGGATGTATCTTTTTAAAGTTATTTTTTTAAAACGCTGAATGTTCTGACCACTTAAGGATTAAACACTGATAAATAGAGTGACATTCTAACCATAAATATGAGAATGTAGACGTAACAGTGGTGAGTTTAAGGGGAAAGACTTCAGTAGAATAACTTGCTAAGTTTTTGTGTTTTCTTTTACAAACTACAAAAAAGCGCACCTTGGCGTCGCATGACTGGTCTTAACGCTCTGCTTGTGCGGCAGTGACTTTGTTCCGCTTCGTGTTTCCAAGCAGGAGAGGCCGGGCGCCGTTCCCGGATGCCGCCCCGCCAGCGGAGCTGAGGGCCCCAGGTACGGCCAGCGCGCTGCTCGGGTGAAAGTGTTAGTGTCGCTGCGTGTCCGTGGACACCCTCACCTGCCTGCTCCCCAAAGATCAGTGCTTGTCAAAGACACGCTCTTGCAAGAATGCGAAACATTGCTTTATGTTGGAAAGTGATCGTTTCTCTAAATGGATTCTATGGCAGTTGTAAGAGTGGCCACGTCTTCTATATAGAAACGATGCCACGACACACCGAATGCCTTTGGATGAGCCACGTATGCCTGTTGCTTGTTGGCCCTTAGCCCCGCTGCTCTTACAGTCTGGTCATTTTTGGAAGAGTGTTCCTGCTCCTTTCCCACGCTGCGTTTACACATTGTGAAGTGGGAGTTATGGCTAAGCTCTGGGGATGTGACACCAGAATTAGCCAAAATCTTAGTTTCCATTTAATGCTGACATTAAGGAAATTAAGCCCTGTTGTCATTGTTATTCTAATGGTGCAGTAATTATGAGTTTGTGTGGGACAGATCACCAAGCCAAGCGTCATCGTTAATTTAAACATGCATTATGTTCCGTCTGCTATGAATATAGACAGCAGTTGTTTCACTTTGTTGCAGCTCAGGACCAGAAGACGACTTCGAATCTTGTTTGCGAAACATGAAGTCACAGTATGAAGTGTTTCGAAGCAGCAGTAAGTCTTTAAAGCATTCTGTGTACGTTTCACGTCTCCTTTAGCGCATCGAGCAGGCGATAGTTGGGGGTCCCGGCTCTGTTTCGGGGAACTCCCGCCTTTGGTTCCTGTTGCCCCGATGATCAGTGAGAGTCCTTAATACACAACAGAAGTTGGAGAGAGCAGTCTTGGGCCCTTCCTGCAGATTTCTGTGGGGAGTCAGGGCCTCATGTAGTTCTACTCTGACCCCGGCCTCCCCCAGAAAGAGAAAGGAGAGGTGGGAGCTGTAACTCGGGGTTCCTGAGGGAAAGGCTGCTCTCCATGGTGCAGGGTACACTCCAGGAAGGGCAGCACAGGAGTGTCCCTCTTAATACAGACCGCCTTTTCCACTTTGTTCCCCTTTGTTACGGATTATTATGAATAATACGTAGACTTCATTATATTTGAAAAGTTTATAATTATTTACATTTGCATGTTTGCTGTGCTGCTCAATGGCAGAAACACAAAAAGAAATGGGGGGGGGGCTGTATGTTATTCTAAACAAGCTTACAGATGTAATGGTTTGTCGTTGTTTCTGTAACAATAAAAGGCACAGAAGTGTTTGGGGAGAGATTCCTGCAGAGTAAGTGGTTGTGGTACTGAGTACAGACGACCGATCCCATTTAATCATATTCGGTGTATATTCCAGGACTCTCTTCAGATGCCACCGTTTTGACACCAAATACAGAAAGCAGTTGTGACTTAGTGACCAAAACCAAATCGACGAGTGGAAATGACGACAGCACGTCCTTGGATCTGGAGTGGGAAGATGAGGAAGGTATCTGACGCTCACCGTTCACCTGGCGTGCAGTTTACTCTGTTAATTTATAGAAATCAACTGCTGTTTTACTTTTCCTTTTGATTTAAATTATTTTTTGTTGGAAGTATTACCTGTCTCCTTTTTCCCCGGTTGACCTCTCCCCAGCTGCTTCCCCTCCCAGCACATGTCCCCGCCCCTTACTGGCTGTGTCCTTTGGTTATGCTTATATGCATGCATACAAGTCCTTTGGTTGATCTCTTACCCCTGCCTTCCCTCCCTGGCTTGATGGTTGCTTCTGTGTCTCTGGATCTATTTTAGTTCATCAGTTTATGTTGTTCTTTATATTCCACAAATGAGTGAGATCATGTGATATTTATCTTTCTTCGACTGGCTTACTTTGCTTAGCATAATGCTCTCCAGTTCCATCCATGCCGTTGCAAATGGTAAGAATCCCTTCCTTTTTACCTCAGCGTAGTATTCCATTGTGTAGCTGAAAATAGGGGTGCATATATCCATTCTGATTGGTGTTTCTAGTTTCTTGGGATATATTCCTAAAAGTGGGATCACTGGGTCAAATGGGAGTTCCATATTTAATTTTTGGAGGAAACTCCATACTGTTTTCTACATGGCTGCACCAGTCTGCATTCCCACCAGCAGTGCAAGAGGGTTCCTTTTTCTCCGCAACCTCGCCAGCACTTGTCGTTTGTTGATGGTAGCCATCAACAGGTGTGACATGTGACAGGTGTGAGATGGTACCTCATTGTCATTTTGATTTGCACCTCTTGGATGATTAGTGATTTTGAGCATATTTTCATGGGTCTCTTGACCTTTTGTATGTCCACTGTCAAAGTGTCTATTTAGGTCCTTTGCCCATATTTTGATTAGGTTGTATATCTTCCTTTTGTTAAATTTTGGAGATTAAACCCTTATGGGATGTATCATTGGCAAATATGTTCTCCCATGCAGTGGGCTTTCATGTTGTTTTGTTGATGGTTTCTTTTTCTGAGCAGAAGCTTTTTATTTTGATGTAGTCCCATTTGTGTATTTTCTTCTTAGTTTCCATTGTCCTAGGAGACATATCGGTAAAGATACTGCTACGACATATGTCTGAGATTTGCTGCCTATGGTTTCTTCTAAGATTTTTATGGTTTCCCATCTTATGTTTAAGTCCTTTATCCATTTTGAGTTTATTTTTGTGTATGGTTTACTTTCACTTTTTTGTCCAATTTTCCCAACACCATTTACTGACAAGACTGTCTTGACTCCATCATATGCTCTTGCCTCCTCTGTCAAATATTAATTGAGCATAATGGCTTGGGTTGATTTCTGGGCTCTCTGTTTTGTTCCATTGGTCTATATGTCTATTCTTGTTCCAGTACCAGGCAGTTTTGAGAACAGTGACTTTGTAATGCAGTTTGATATCTGGTATTGTGATTCCCCCAACTTTGTTCTTCTTTCTCAGGATTGCTGCGGCTATTTGGGGTCTTTTTATATTCCATATAACATTTTGGAGAGTTTGTTCTAGGTCTGTGAAATATGCTGTTGGTATTTAATGGGGATTGCATTGAATCTATAGATTGCTTTGGGTAGTATGGACATCTTAATGATGTTGATTCTACCAATCCATGAAGACGGTATATTCTTCCATTTGTTTATGTCTTCCTCTATCTCTTTTTCCAGCGTCCTGTAATTTTCTGAGTACAGGTCTTTTACCTCCTTAGTTAAGTTTATTCCTAGGTATCTTAATTTTTTTTGTTGCAATGGTAAATGGGTTTTTTGTTTTTTTTTTTGTTTGTTTGTTTGAGTTTCTCTTTCTCTGAGTCCATTATCGGTGTATACAAACGCCATAGATTTCGGGGTGTTAATTTTATATCCTGCTACTCTGCCAAATTTATTAAATCTAGTAGTTTTTTGATGGAATCTTTAGGGTTTTCTATGTACAATATCGTCATCTGTGAATACTGACAGTTTTACTTCTTCTTTTCCTATTTGGATGCCTTTATTTCTTCCTCTTGTCTGATCACTGTGAATAGGACTTCCAGAACTATGTTGAATAATAGTGGTGAAAGCAGGCATCCTTATCTTATTCCTGTTCTTAAGGGAAACGCTTTTAATTTTTGCCCATTGAGTATGATGTTGGCTGTAGGTTTGTCATATATGGCCTTTATTCTGTTGAAGTATGATCCCTCTATTCCCACTTTACTGAGAGTTTTTATCAAAAAAGGGTGCTGTATTTTGTGGAATGCTTTTTCTGCATCTATTGATAAGATCTTGTGGTTTTTATCTTTCAGTTTGTTTATGTGATATATCACATTTATTGGTTTGCGAATATTGTACCAGCCTTGCATCCCTAGAATAAATCCTACTTGATCATGATGTATGATCTTTGTAATATTTTGCTGGATCTGATTTGCTAATATTTTGTTGAGGATTTTAGCATCTGTGTTCATTGGGATATTAGCCTGTAATTCTCTTTCTTTGTAGTGTCTTTATCTGGTTTTGGAATTAGGGTAATGCTGGCTTCATAAAAGGAGCTTAGAAATGTTTCTTCCTCTTGAATTTTTTGAAATAGTTTGAAGAGGGTAGGTGTTAGTTCTTCTTTGAATGTTTGGTAAAAATTCACTTATAAATCCATCTGGTCCAGGATTTTTGTTTGCTGGAAGTTTTTAAATTACTGCTTCAATTTCTTTGGTTGTTGGCGTACTCAGGTTTTATCATTCCTCCTGTTTGAGTTTTGGAAGATTGTATGTTTCTAGGAATTTAGCCATTTCACCCAGATTGTACAGTTTGTTGGCAATAGTTGTTCATAGTATTTGCTTGCAATCCTTTTGTATCTATCTCTGTGGTATCCGTTTTTATATCACCTCTTTCACCTCTGATTTTATTTATTTATTTGGGTCCTCTCTCTTTGTTTCTTGATGAGTCTGGCTAAAGGTTCATCAATCTTGTTACCAATCTTGTTTATCTTTTCAAAGAACCAGTTCTTGGATTTGTTGATCTTTTGTACTGGGTTTTTGTTTGTTTGTTTGTTTGTTTTGTGTCTATGTTATTTATTTCTGCTCTAATCTTTATTATTTCCTTTCTTCTACTTCCTCTTGGCTTTTCTTGCTGTTCTCTTTCTAATTCATTTAGTTTTAGGGTTAGATAGTTTATTAGTCCTTTTTCTTGTTTCTAGAGGGATGCCAGTGCTATGAACTTCCCTCTCAGGACTGCTTTCACGGTGTCCCATAGGTTTGGCGTGGTTGTGTGTTTATTTTCATTTGTGTCCAGGAAGTTTTTAATTTCTTGCTTGATCTCATTGGTAACCCATTAATTGCTTAATAACATGCTAGTTAGCCTCCATGTATTTGAGTGTTTTTGAATTTTTTTTATTGTAGTTGATTTCTGGTGTATTAAAGTCCCCTACTATGACTATTGCTGTCGGTCTCTCCCTTAAGGTCCATCAAGAGTTCTTTAATGTCCTTTGGTGCTCCTGTGTTGGGTGCATGTATGTGTACAAGGGTTCTATTTTCTTGTTGAATCATTCCCTTTAGTATTATGTAGTGACCTTCTTTGTCTCTTGTTATGGCCTTTGTTTTGAAGTCTGTTTGGTCTGATAAGAGTATTGCTACTCCAGCTTTATTTTTCTTTCCATTTGCTTGGAATATATTTTTCCATCCCTTCATTTTGTCTCTGTATATCTTTTGTTCTGAGGTGGGTACCATAGACAGCATGTATATGGGTCATGTTTTCTTATCCATTCAGTCACCCTATGACTTTTGATCAGAGCATTTAATCCATTTACATTTAAGTTTATTATTGATAGGTATTTATTGCCATTTTTGTTTTCTTTATGCCTATGATCCTCTCTCTCCTTTTCTTCTTCTTAAAGCAGTCCCTTTAACATTTTTTGCATTGCTGGTTTGGTGGTAATGTACTCCTTTAACCTTTTTTGTCTGGAAAGCTTTTTATTTTGCCTTCAATTTTCAATGATAGCCTCACTGGATACAGTAGTCTTGGATTTAGGCCCTTACTTTTCATTACTTGGAGTACTTCATGCCACTCCCTTCTGGCCTGGAATGTTTCCATTGAGAAGTCAGCTGTCATTCTAATGGGAATTCCTTTGTAGGTGATTTTCTGCCTTTCTCTCTTGCTGCCTTAAGTTTCTTTCTTTTTTTTTTTAACATTTGCCATTTTAATTACGTTGTTGTCTAGGTGTGGGCCTCTTTGGGTTCATCTTGATTGGGACACTCTGTGCCTCCTGAATGTGTATGACAGTTTCCTTCACCAGGTTGGGCAAGTTTTCTGTCACTATTTCTTTAAACAGATTATCTGTTCCTTGCTCACCTTCTTTCCCTTCTGGTATTCCTGTAATGCGAGTGTTGTTGTTACATTTCATGTTGTCCCAGAGCTCTCTTAAGCTATCTTCCTGCTTTTTAATTCTTTTTCCTATTTGCTGCTCTAATTGGGTATTTATTTCTATCCTGTCTTGTCTTTAAAATCACTGATTCGGTCCTCTGCTTCATCCAGTTCTGCTTTTAATTCCTTCCAGTGTGTTCTTCATGTCAGATATATCATTTAGCTTTTCTGTCTGATCCCTGTTAATGGCCTCTGTTTCCCTTCTCATGTGTTGTAATTTGCACTAAGTTCCTTAAGCACCTTTATGATCCTTGCTTTGAACTCTATGTCTGATAGGTTGCTTGCCTCCATCTCACTTAGTTCTTTTCTGGAGAGTCCTTCTTTTCTCTCCTTTAGGAGCTGTTTCTTTGTCTCCCCATTTTTTGTCTCTGTATTTCTTCTATGTATCAGATAGGATGCTATCCCTCCCCGTCTTAGTGGGATGGCCTCATGTAGAAAGTGTCTTGAGGGGTCCAGTGGTGCAGTCTCTTTGTTCCCCTGAGCTGGATGCTCTAGGAATGCCCCTTGTGCACTTTGTTTGGGCTCCCCTGTTGTAACTGGGACTTGATTGTTGATGTCCCAGGTGTGGGAGGACCCCCCCCCCCCCCCGACTTGTGAGGTTCAACCGCAATGTCATCATGCCAGCTGTCCAGTGGTTGGGGCTCCTTACCCCAGAGGCTGGTTCTGCCTTGAATCTCCACCTTGACGGACATGGTTCTGGCTGTACGTCCTTCACCCACAGCTGCTCCCACAGGTGTCAGCTGCAGGCGCTTGGGGTCCTGCCGACTTTTGCCTCCGAGACGTTAACTTTTCGTTTCTTTTTCTTTTTTGTTAATCCTCACCCGGGGACATTTTTCCATTGATTTTTTTTTTTTTTTAGAGAGAGAATGAAAGACAGAAATATCGATGTAAGAGAAACACATTGATTGGTTGCCTCCTGCATGCACCCTGACCAGGGCCCAGGCCCAGGGAGGAGCCTGCAACCAAGGTACATGCCTTTAACTGGAATCTAACTCAGGACCCTTCCATCCACAGGCCAACGCTCTATTCACTGAGCCAAATCGGCTGGGGCTTAAATGTTAATTTTTCAATCTAAGGGTTTTGTAATCTAGCCCATTGAGCCTCAGTCCAGGAGAGCGGCTGCCCCCTTGTGGGCAACCTAAAGCCAGCAGTTAATGACCTTGGTTCATGATCAAGGGCAGTTTGTAGCTCTGGTATAAAAGCTGTGACACAGACTCGAATTTGATTTTAGCTGCATGTCTTCCTGCTGTGGTGCTTTAGGCAGATTTCTCTATCTCTCCAAGCTGCAGTTTGTTTACCTAAAAGGGAGTAATAAACCTACTTTAAAGAGTGACATTCCCTGATTTGTCCTCACTGCCTGGCACATAATAGGCAGTTGGTAAATATTTGAAAAAAAAAATGAAGGCATTCATGTTGTGAAGATTAAATACAATTTCTATAAAAGACCCAGTACAGGGTGTTACAAATAGTAAGTACTCAAAATTATACCTAAAATGTTGATTTGTTTTTAAAAAGACTATTCCATTGCATAAAGCCCAAGTTTTCATTTTAAGAAATAAATAATCCAAACAGAAGAACCAATTATAGAACATAGGACTTTAAGAAAAATAATAATCATTAAATTATTCATAGGGTTTTGGGAAGGAATGGACCTTAGATATCCTCCCATAGAAGTCTTTTGTTTTATTAATAAAGAAACAGGTATGTCAGCACTCGAATAATTTTACCAAGAATTGCTTTAACTTTGGTCTTCTTCTCAGCTAAGTACTGTTTCCCTATTCCTGTACTGAGGTTATTGCATATTTGAATTCCAATCAGCAGACTTTAAGTTTATTTTTATTTTAGCATCTTGTTCAATTTGACCCAAAGCCTTTCAGTTATTTTAATTCCTATTCTGTCTTCCATGCTGTACGCTAATCAGATTTGTAGGTAACATGACTTTGGAGATCGTTATTCAGGTCATTAACTGGATTATTATCACCTAGAATCATGAACCAGCGAGGTCAGGGCAGAGCCCACTAGGAGCCTGCTTGTGGGCCGATACGCAGTCCAGCTTCCTTTGGCCCAGTCATTCCATCAAATGCAAACCCTCAGGGCGATGTTAGCAGCAGCTCATGTTTATGTCTTGTCTATAGAAATGACTTGCTCTGCTATGTTGAGTCTTGGTGATTTTTCATGAGTGACAGACAACACTGATATGTATTTAAATGTTTTTCTCTTACCATAGGGTTTGATTCGTTAAGGTCAAAAAACAAAATTATTGACTGTTCTTAGGGAAATTTTCTTAAAATCCCTTTTCTAGTTCTAGATGTTAATTCTTTTACTTATGTTCGTCCTACACTTACAAATTTGAATTTGTCTTCCCTCCCTCGCTTCCTTCTGCCAATAAAATGACATTGTTTTTCTCCCAAGAATATGGGACTTTCCATTTACTGGCCAGTTTCTTTCTGTTCAGAATGAGGTGTAGTCCCTGGCCCGCCTCTGCTGGGTTGCATGGCAGAGCCGGGAGCCCGGCTTGGAGCCCTGACACAGGCCCCTTCTCCTTCCTGCCAGGTTCCCAGCTGTGAGCAGAGCAGGAGAGCCGTGCGTAATACACGTCAACATTGACGGGAACTAGGCAGTGCTGGGCCGGGATGTTGTCATTATTCTTGGAGCCCCTGTTCCCTCCGGGAAAGGAAGGTATCACCCGGGGAGGAGAGGATTGGCAGTGCACGGGTTTTTCCGTATATGACTAATAGCCATTAGGTCCTCCGTCCATTCTGTGTGATTTATGGCTCCTCAGACATTTCATCTCCTTAGGTGGTCACGTTGCGTCCCAGCTGCCCTTGGGTGAGTGCATTTCTCTAAGGCGCGCTCCAGGGTGAGACGCGCATGATCCGTGAGAGGCCTCCATGGTGCTGGCTCTGTAACTCACAAATAGGGTCTGATTGTTAGATACAAACTAGACTGTTACCCTGGGAAGTCTTTTCATGTGGCTTTTTCACCTTCGCTGAGATGTTTAACACCTTGGCCCCATCCAGGCATGAATCGGATGCTCCCAGTGCGCGAGCGCTCTCGGACGGAGGAGGACATCCTGCGGGCGGCGCTCAGGGGCGGCCGGAGGCCCGGGAGCCACGCCGCGTCCGCCTCCGACGACTCCAATGGGCTGGAGTGGGAGAGCGACTTCGTGAGCGCCGACGTGGACGACAACGGCAACTCCGAGTTCTCTGGCTTCGTGAACCCCGTGCTAGACCTGTCGGAGCCCGGCGGGCAGCCAGTGGGCGGAGAGCCACAGACGCGAGGGGGTCAGATCTTGTGACCCAGCTTGGCAGGTGGGACCCAGTGTAACCCCAGCGAGAACGTGTAAATCATGCTGAGCCTTGGCATCGGAGGTGGGAGCCGTATACATGCTGTCGGAAAGGACCGGAGATGGGCTGGATCTGAACTGCTTCAGAACAAGTGCAATTTCAGCATCTGCCTTCGTTTTCAAAACAAGTTCATGGTTCTGTCACGGTATCAAGTACATTCCCGTTTGCAGTCTGTAGGTGTTCTTTTTAGGATAGCTTTGTTGGTTTACTTAGTGTGTCTGCAGAAGCTTATTCAGTGACCGACTGCAAGTGTTAAGGCTTTGGGTGTTACGCTCAGCAGACAGAGGGAGCAGAGGATGGAGCGCCCAGCTCAGACTCAATGCCGGTCCCGCTCCGCATGCCTGTCCCGCAGCTCACTCACCACCTGGTCGTAGCGGTTACTCCAGGAGGCGACTCGAATGCTCACGTGTCATTCTCTGTCCACACTGACTGCACATCCACGTAGGAGATGACAGGACAGAGGAAGCTTCCCGAGTTGGAACACTTGAAGTTGGTGATCAGGAGTAATTGAAGATGAATGTTCACTTCCTTTTACATGCGCTACACATGAATGTTGACTTTAGTTGATATATTAAATTTCTAGATGTCTTTTTTATTTCCAGTGACTGGTCTTAGAAAGATCTTATTCTCTGCATCATTTAATAAGAAAGGAAAACCTAACAAGGAAATACGGGTATTTCAGAGTAAATAAATCCTTTCTGGTGTGAAAGGATCTGTGGATTTCTATTGAGTTTCCTTTGCCTTGTAATTCAAGGTGCACTAATGGGCTGGAATTAAGTCCATCAATAAATACAATTCCTCTTTGTGGTGGACAGTGAGCTCTTTCCTCTCAAGGTTAGGCACCAACTTCAGAGGCCAAGGAGACGCCTAGTGGCTTGTCTGGATTTTGCTGAGAATTGATGTGATTTCAGTCAGCAAACTTGATTTTTTCCTCAGTGCTTTTTCCTTTTCTTTTTCTTGCGACAATGACAGTGCATGTTCTCAAGACGATAGGAAGGCCCAGGTGTAAATAGCGACTCGGATTCTTTCTGCACTTAACGCATCACGTGGTCCTTTCAGTGTCTGAGCTGCTCGGCAAGGGCATCTGTGGTTCTGTCACTTTATCTCATAGACCTACACACGACACTAAGTATGTAGACATGTTCGGTAATGCTTTTGTTTATGTCTGTGTTCGCATAATTTACGTTGTAGCTATGTCATGGGAAATATTTTAAAGGTAATCTATACTCACACTGCCTGTTATGCTTTTTGAAGTTTATATACATCTGATGTATATTCTTTGTTTGGCATAGGCTACAATTGTAATTTTTTTGCATTTTGTTCATAAAATATTTTTTGGAGGAATGGCAGCTTGTTGAGGATTGTGAATAAACACATTTTTACATTTAAAAACTAATTTTAAAAATTGTTTTATTCCATAAACATGCCATAATTATTTTTTTTTATTTTTTTAAAATTTTTTTAATTGTTTAAGGTATTACAAATAGTAGTACATATGTCTCCTAACAGGCAGTGACCCTGACTTCTGACAGTTATTTTATTAAATCTGCTATGAAGACAAAAAGTAGTAAATTAGGAAAGCTGGCTGGAACTAAACTTGAAAATGTTTGTTTTACCTGCTATGAAGAGGATATTAAATTTTTTGTTGTTGTTAATCCTCACTTGAGAATATTTTTCCATTGATTTTTAGAGTGAGTGGAAGGGAAGGAGAAGCAGAGAGAGACATCGATGGGTTGCCTCCCACATGTGCCCTTGACCAGAATTGAATCCAGGACCTTTCAGTCTCCAGGCCGACACTCTGAGCCCAACTGGCTAGGGCTGATTTCTTTATGTTTATTAAAAACACTGGAAATAATTGATTTTTCAGCAAATATTGGAGAATCTACTGTGTCTGGTAGGGTAAGCGTGGGAACATCGCATTGAAAAGTTTCTGTTTTGTTTACCTTCTGGCAAGAGAGACAGACATTAACAAGTAATTGGGAAGTCACAGATGACAGCAGGAGATACACTGGATGACAGACAGGGCAGCAAGGGGACGAGGGACTGGGTTTGACAGGTCAGGAGCCCTCTCTGAGGAGACGGCCTTGGACCTGAGGCACTGGAGCAGGACCAGCCAAGGCAAAGGCCTGGGAAGCATGTGATAAGCAAAGGGAACCGAATGTGCAAGGGGAGGTGGGAGGGAGTTTGTATGTTCCAAGCATAAAAGACCACTTGGCCAGTCATGTGAGGCCTGTAGGCATGGAGAAAGATGGGTTTTAAAAAAACAAAACGTATTTTTATTGATTTTAAAAGAGAGGAAGGGAGAGGGAGAGAGAGAAACATAGATGAGATAGAAACATCAGTGATGAGAATCATTCATCAGCTGCCTCCTGCACGCCCCACACTGGGGATCAAACCCCCAGCCTGGGCATGTGCCCTGACCAGGAACCAACCTCCTGGTTCATAGGTCAGCGCTCAGCCACTGAGCCACGCCGGAGGGCAAGGTGAGTTTTACTTGATGTAGAACAGGAAGCTGGAGGAACAGTGAGCACATGGGCATTTCTGAAAAAGTGCTGTAGCCGCTGTGCAAGCGGGTTGTAGAGGGCACCCCTCATGGGACACGGTGGGGCCGGGGCGGGAACAGCTGTTGGAACGCAGAGCAGACATGGGTAGGAGAGGGGGGTCAGAGACAGCTTAGCTGCAGTACCTCCTACCAGCACCCTGCTCGGCAGTCTCGAATGGCACCTGCGGAGAGCTGACTGGTGGAGGGCGGGCCGCTGGCCCTTCGGAGGTCGGGTTCTCTGATCGATCCTGGCACCCAATGGCCCTGGGTCAGCACACGGGAGTGAGGAGGGGAGGAGAATGGCTCTGACACGTGCGGGCAGAGCTGCGTGTCTGAGTGCACAGCCCCGGGCTTGGCCGCACTGGCCCTGTCCATAGAGTTTCCAAGAAAATGGTTCGAGAATTAAACAGATTTTATTAGGTGCGTAGGTGCTGTTGACATTTGGAATTCGTGGAATTAAACATTTTAATAGGACATAAAGATCAGTTTAAAATTGGGTAAGAAAACTGAAACATACTTCTGCATCTAGCACAGTGGTTCAATAAAATGTTTTAAGTGCTGTTTTTAGGTGCTGATTACAGACAAGAATTATTCTTGAGAATTATTTTTATTCTTGAGAACAGACACATACTATAATCCCATCGGTCAGAAGTCAAGGTATTAGCTCAGATAAGCTCCCACATTAAAGCCACAGCGATGCGCAGACATTAACACATGCTCCCCTCCAGGCCGGTGCCCAACAACCAGCAGGCTGCGTGCGGCACTGGCAACCATCTGCCCGTAGCCGTGGCCTTAAAACCAGTGGCTGCTGTGAGGTGATGTGACCTAGAGGCGGTTCTTACAAAACAAAGCACAGGACTAAAGAGAAAACACGACGACCCTATTGGTCATCACTCCATCACCATACGCATGTGACGAACCCTCAGCACGTCCAGCCATGCACCAGGCAACTGAGACGGTGCCGCCCACGAATTACAGGCTTCGGAACGGCAGCCCTGGGTCCGACTCCACGGCATCAGCAGGTGACAGCCGGGCTGCAGGTAAAGGCAGTCAGTGGCGTCCGCAGAGCGCTCCGTCCGCCTCTGCTCTTGCCTGTGGCTAATATTCATTCTCGTCCATTTCCCTCGGAGAAGCACTCAGGGACGTGCTCTGGGTGCACCAGGACAAGGACTTGCAGAACTCGGGGGTGGGCCTGCCTGCGGGCCAGTCGTGTTCCTGCAGGAGAGGCCTGGGGGACATAGCGAACAGTGTCTCGAAAAACTCCAGGGACTCCCCGTCTTCCTTCTCCACCAGGAGCTGGTACTCGCCAAAGCGGACCATGCACCTGTAGGGCAGCTCCGCTTTGTTCAGGTAGCCCAGCTCCTTGCTGTCCACCAGCAGGCTGGTCTTCCTGCTCATGTTCTTAATCTCAAAGGAGAGCACGGAGCTGCCGAACTTTTTAAACAGCTGCAGGGAGAACTGAACTCGCGAAACCTGCTTGTCCTGAAACGTGTAGCGACAGATGGTGGAATTTCGGCCAAATTTCACCACTTCGCTGGACGGGAGCTTCTCTGGGTGATAGAACCTTATCGATTGGAATATCCCATTTTGCATCTGGCCAGGATGGTAAATGGTGACCCGCAGACTCGTCACGGTCTCTTCTGTGTCCGCGTCTTCGAAACTGGACATGGCGGCGGCAGCACCTGCCTGCAAGTCAGCAGCACATTAGCTCATGTCCCACTCTGGGCACCGAGACCTTTTTTTAAATATATACATATATTACACACACACACACACTAGAGGCCCGGTGCATGAAATTCACCGGGGGGGTAGGGGGGGGTGTGCCTCAGCCGAGCCTGCACCCTCACCAATCCGGGACCCCTCAGGGGATGTCCCTCTCACAATCCAGGACTGCTGGCTCCCAACCACTAGCCTGCCTGCCTGATTGCCCTTAACTGCTTCTGCCTGCCAGCCTGATCACTCCCTAACCACTCCCCTGCCAGCCTGATTGACGCCTAACTACTCCCCTGCCAGCCCAGTCACCCCCAACTGCCCTCCCCTGCTGGCCTGGTCACCCCCAACTGCCCTTCCCTGCCAACCCTCTTGTGACCACATGGGGGCGGCCATCTTGTGTGAGGATGTGATGGTCAATTTGCATATTACCTCTTTAATATATAGGGTTGATTGATTTCAGAGAGGAAGGGAGAGGGAGGGAGAGATAGAAACATCGATGATGAGAATCATTGATAGGCTGCCTCCTGCATGCCCCACATTGGAGTTCACAACCCAGTATGTGCCCTGACCAGAAATTGAAACATGACCTCCTGGCTCACAGGTCGATGCTCAACCACTGAGCCACGCCAGCTGGGTGAGGCAATGAAATCTTGATTCTCATATTTGATGAAAATCTTCTGACAGGTCATTTAGATTTTAAGTTAAGAAAACAATACATAGAATCCTTTCAATTATACATGAAATTGTATACCAAGCTCTGTGAATTGGTGTTACCCTTTTCCTATCTCTTTTTCATTTCTAGTTTGATAAGACCATACATGTAATCCAACAACAAAAGGAGTAATTATTGATAATAAAGTGGTTTTGGGGGGCATAACAAAACCCCAGTTTCCTTCTCATTTAAATAGAGCTGCTGGGGCCCTGACAGCGGGGAAGCTGTGCTTAAAAAGGGAATCGGGAATAAGGGGTCTTACCTTTGGTCTGAATGTCCTCAGAGGACGAACCTATAAAAGCTATCATTTACTGTTAAAATTAGATGGATGTGAATTAAGTATATTTTTTTAAAAAAAGTCTCTCTGACGCAGTTCAAAGCAGTCAACAGTCAGACTCCATGGGAGTTGTTTGTTTTTGCCAGATGTCCCTAATGACTGGACAGCTGTCAGTAACCACAAGCGGCCCAACTGCTGTTACCACACCGGCCACACCTGCGCCCGGGAGGGCCACATCCCCTCCCCCCTTCACCCCCATTGCAGGGACCTAAGCAGTCAGTGGGGTAGAGGGTATCACAGGACAGGAGAGTTCGTTACCAAAACCCCTGGAGGTTATTTTGACACAGAAATGCCATTTTAAGACTTCAAAAAGGGTTACATGCACACGATTACAAAATTCAAACAGTAAAGGCTTTAAAAAAAAGTATCTTCCCACCATAGCCAGTTTGGCTCAGTGGATGGGGGTCAGCCTGCGGACTGAAGGGACCCGGGTTCAATTCCAGTCAAGGGCACACACCCATGTACCGGGCTCGATCCCCAATGTGGGGTGTGCAGGAGGCAGCCAATGAATGATTCTCATCATTGATGTTTCTGTATCTCCCTCTCTCTTCCTCTCTGAAATCAATAAAAATATGTATTTTTAAAAAGTATCTTCCCTCCACCCTAATCCTGTTTCCTCTTCTAGAATCAACAGTTGTAAAGTTGATTTTACCCATAAAAAAATTCTTTACACAACAAGCATACTAGGTCTTGCGTTTTTCAATTAATAATACAAATGGATGCTTTTCCCATATCCACACATAAATGCACCTCATTCTTTACCAGCGAGTCCTCTAAGTCAGTGTGTTGGGAAGCCACATCCCCAGGCGGTGGGCTTGCTGCCTGCATTCTTCAAACCCTGGTTTGGGGCTCGGGGCTCTAAGTCCTAAGGGAGGCTGATCTGTGACTTCAATGTTTTCTGTCTGCCGCCTATAGTAAATGTTAGTAACAGAGCTGGTTTAAAAAAGCAATGCTTTCATTTCCTTTCTGTGGTTCCTGCTGTTGTAATATACGTTTTTTTTCTGCTTGTTTGACAAAGTGATGCTGCTGAAAATCAAATTGTCAACTTCTTCAACAAATGCCAGAGCTAAGCAATTTCTTTTCTATTCATTTGGAAATACGTTATGTAACTACTTCCGTAACCGATTCTGCGTGCAGGTTTTTACACCCTATTGTATCAGTCACAGAGACACTCAGCTGGAAACAGGAAAAGTGAAAGGAACCCTTAACATCATGGGCCCATTTGCGGTAAAAATTACGATGAAATCAAAGACAGCAAGCATCAACCCACAGCACTAACATCGGGGAATCCACCCCAGGCTGTGATTTCAGAGGCTGTAGCTGTGACCCTGGCGGGGCAGGGCGCAGGGAGGTGTGTGTATTAGAATCAGCAGGACACGGCTGGAGCCTGGCGCTGGGAGGGACCTGCTGGGTCCAACCCCAGGTGTGGGGACCAGCTCCTACTTGCTGGCAAGGGGGCAGCCAGGTTGTCAGGGTGAACCTGTCTCTGACGTCAAGAACACAGAGGGACGCTCTGCCCATTTAACACGTCCACCTGCAAGGCCCCCCTGTGAGCGGCCTGAGCCCTGCCACTCCAGGGTGATCGGTAGAAAATCAGAAAAGACAGAAACTAACCAAAAAACACCCTGAAAGGTAAAATAGGTGGGTCTTTTCTTTAAAACACAAACACGAGCCCTAACGGTTTGGCTCTGGATAAAGGGTGGGCCTGCGGACTGAAAGGTCCCAGGTTCGATTCCGGTCAAGGGCACATGTCCAGGTTGCGGGCTCATCCCCAGTAGGGGGCGTGCAGGAGGCAGCCAATCAATGATTCTCTCACCATTGATGTTTCTATCTCCCTCTCCCTTTCTGAAATCAATAAAAATCTCCTATCTGATAAAGAGGGAATATGCTAATTAACTCCCACACCATCGCAAAGATGGCGGCGCCCACAGCCAATAAGGAGGGAATATGCTCATTGCTGCCCCACCCTCAAATATGGTGGCACCCACAGCCAATAAGGAGGGAATATACTAGT